TTTACGATAGCCGTTCGCATCGAGACTGTACTAATCGATCGCTTTGGCTCCCGATAAAAGTTCCTTTTCGCAGATTCCTCTGTGAGTCATATTTTTTTCACCATGTTATTGTTTATCATGCATATTTCGTAGCGGGAAAATCCTTTATTTACGAGTCCGTTACCATTCGATTTTTCGTGATATTTTTTAATGCCGGATCCCGTCTCACGAATTTTCCATTTTCGTCATATTCGTACTATTCCTATGTAGGTATTTCGGCAGCGCCCATTCACGCTTACCTTGCTTAACGTATTGCTCCGAGCCCGCGAGCGGTGAAAAGCGGATGAGTGGAGGGCGGGCACATTTGGCCCGGCGGCCACCGTGAATTTCAATTTGCGACTAGTGCACGACAGGGAACGACAAGCAGAATTACGAGAGGACGAAGCGAACCATTACGGGCAATCGGTCTATCATCGGACGGGGGGCTCTTTGTGCGACCGTGGACGGAAGTTTACGATGGGACACGCGATTTTCTTGTTCGTTTCGGGCCGCGTGCGCGACCGGGCGTTAACGACTTAATGCAAAATAATGGCCGGTCCGACGACCGCGGATCTCGTCCGCCATATGGACGACACTAACCACTGCGTCGCGGCATGAATAATTCGCGACGCCATATGTCAAAACGTCGATACGCGACGTATCGTGGACGTTTCGTAGAAACGAAATTGTGAAGAAGTAATTGCACCGATGATTCCATTCCTGTTACCTCCGGAGGGGAGGCGAGGGGGGATCGATTGTGTCCCGATGGAATTGATTAACTCGGAAGATCGTTCCTTCGCGATAATTCTTGCAAATGACGATAAAATTAAGTGCATGAATGTGTACGACATTTTATTCTCCGTCTCTAATTAGAATAGATTAAAATTGTCGTCGATGCTGTCTCAGACAGCTTCTTAGTTCTGTGAAAGTTTTACCGGCAGTCTCAAATTAAAACAAGTAAAGATAAATTGAAAATAAAATTTCGCCGTTTATTTTGTGCAGTTGAGACTCAAGTTATTGAAACAAGTTTAATTCTTTTTTTATTTATTAATGATCTGATTTTTTTGGAGCAAACTGCAAACACTTTGATATTTAATATCCAAAACATAACTAATTATAGTCGTTAATGAAATTAAATTGAGCTAAAATTAACAAGTAAATTTGATACGTGAAAGACTTATTAAATATAATTCGAAAATAACATTATCACGTCAAGTTTATTTCTAAGTAATTTTTTTTTAAAAATGGAGACAATAACCGTCTGGCTGCTCTTTCATGTTTGTGTGTTCGCGTTCCATATTTGGAAGCTCATTCGCCATCGAGCTCGTAAACGAGAAATCATTTTTCCCAATATATATAGCTGACGACGCACTAAACTAAACACGAAACTTTAAAAACTGCGCTCGTAAATATTCATGACACGCGCGAGGTGTAATTACTTGTAATCGCGTGTCACATCGCACAAATGGCTATGTCGAGCCGCCATAAGAATTCCGCGTAATGTGATAGCTGCTTCCACGAGTGAGAATAACGAGTGCATAAATGCTGTTACGTCACACGTGCGTATATCTTTTCGATTAATAACGCATATTATGTGTATAACATAACCTATAAAAATAATCCGTTAAAATCTCAATTGTTATTATTATAAAAATATTAAGATTTCAAGGAGATTC